TTAAAATTAAAGGGTTTTGAGGGAGGCCTTTTCTCAGCAGCGAGTGAAATAATGTTTTCGTTTACAGCCTAAATCATTCCTCATAACATCAGTGAAAGTCCGATTCAAATCGTTTCAACCATTTCTGAGATAAGTTGTAAAAACAGAATTATAATCTGCATAGATTATCCAAGAAAAAGGAGTTCTATTAAAAGCAAAACAGAATCTGGATTTCCCGGGATATATTCGGACCTTAAATTAAAAGAACCCGGTTTATTTTAGACCCGGGTATTTGCAGCTCCCATCCGGGAAACCGGATTGAAAATAAACAGGAAAGCAAAATGCCGTTCAGATAGTGCTCCGCTCCCAGTCTGTTTTCCCAAACACTCTTCGATATTCCAATGTTGTCCCTCTTTTCTGGGTAAATAACTTTGTACGGGTAAAGGAGCGATGGGAAAATTATAAAGTTGATGCATTTCTCAATTAAAAGATAGAATTAGTTTTAAGTTTTTAGACGTCAAACCACAGGTGAAACGTAGTGTAGACGCAGTGTAAAAACGTCTTCTAAAGATTTTTGTATCCACAATTTAAAACTCTCTAAATAGCAAAAACTACTACTATTACAGTGCCGTAGTCAGTTACGAAGATAAGTATCTTTTTTTGACATAATAATTAGTAACCTAATATTAATTCGTATCTATCTATGGATTAAGACATCAATTTTATTAGTTTTGCATTAAAACTTAAAAAGCGTCTTACACCTACGAGCACATTTAACTATTACACAATATTTATAGCTTACGCACTTCACAGAACTGTTACAAGGATGGTGATGCATCAGCAGTTCCCGCGGCATTGCCTTCCATACACGGGCAGCAACTTAGAACTGGTTGCCTTTTATGCGCAAACCCATTTTCTTAGACTTATACAAAGTTGCAATGAGAACGAGGCTCTTTGTCCCGCATGGATTTATTTTTCCTCGATGGGACACACGACGGACAACTACGGAACCCTACACTGCGCGTGACACGACACGCACTTGGCCATTTTTTCCGTATACTTTCTTTGTTCTCTAAGTGATGTCCATCGTAATAAATAATCCTTTCTTTCTTTCTTTCTTTCACTTGATTTGTATCTCACCTGATGGAAAGATCAGGCCTTCTATGCCCGAAATCCTTAAACACAGAGGAATTGGCTGTCTTACTTACCTCTATAATTTTAGCCGCTAGCACACGAAATATAAAATTGTTAATTATGGCCACAGACTTAGTTAAATTTTTCCCCCGCTAGGAATCGAACCCGAAATCTCTGGGTCTAAATATAGACAATGAGGTATAAGATCCCTTGACATGTTAAAAATATTAAAGAGGAACCATATGCAAAAATAATTTGACATTTTGACAGCATTATCCTATTGATAAGGCCGCCTGAGTCGTGCCCTCTATGTTTGTTATGGTAGGTTGCTTTAGTAAAAAAAAGCATGCACAAAAATTGTTCTTTCATGAAGCACTCCCTAGTGACTAAAAATTTATGGAAATATGCACAGTTTCCCATCATCCACGCATTCCACGCGTCTCTACCTCGAACCGTTTTTGAGAAATCAAGCGTTGCTATTTGTAAAAAAAATTCGGCCATCCTGTATATTATATTCTAAGATCACTGGCCCATTGCTGGACAAAGACCCCACTCAAGAATTATTTTACATACTGAACCGTAACCCTGAACTGCTAACGGGGGTCAAACAAGCCTTGGCCTCTAAACAGAGCTTGATTGAGACCGCGTTGCGCGCGCGCACGTTGACAGTTGCTCATTGAAACGACGTAGCATTGTCCGGTAATTTATTCGCGATGAGGTTATTGATTGTGAGTATTTTAGAATCAGGCTCAAGTTATTTCTTCTTTTTATCAGTAGCTCGCTTCGTCTTCATCACAGGTCATTTTAATCGCCACTGGAACAGCACGATACTCTTCGATCAGAGAAAAATAAATGATTTAGCCTATACATTCTGTGCCTATACTCCCCACGGCTAGACGGATGGTCTGATGTTCCTTAATGTTCCTAAGTGACCTTTTACGACATCCACGGGAAAAGTAGAGGTCGGTCTTATTCTTCTCTACCGGAACCGAGAGCTTCGCATTACCTCTGGTTAAATCAAAAAAGATTACCGCTGTCTTTTTACCTTTTGTCTACCACTGTAACTCATGTGTTTCAGACACGATCAACTGTTTAACTGCTGAAACCTAATCAATGCTGATCGAGTAGTCTAGAATTCACAAATAATAATAAGATTATTAGTAGGTTTTATTATAACTTATTTTGATAGACTATGTGGTTGGCCCTATTAAACTATTTTATCGTTGTTTTATAACTGATATCACAATCCTACCAATATCTATTTTGATGTCTGCCAACTAACTATTTAACCCTTCTGCAATAAAAATGATTGGCTTTTTATTTTACAATTTATGGACGCATATTAATATTTTATGTTCTTAGAATGGTTAATGCGAGCTTTTATAGTCTATATTTTGATGATCATTTTGAATGGCAAATATCAGTTAAATTTTATGGATATGTAATTAAATTAATACTTATTTTCTCTATACAACAGTCCTTACTGAAAATAGTTTTTGATTGACTCTATGTATAATTTATACTTGCATTTATACTTACAAAGCAAAGTCAATAAAGAAATAAGAATTGGTTCTTTTTCTTATTAAAAATAATCGTAAAACTTGTAAAAAAAGTGTTGATACAAATGCTCAAATTGCTTAAAAGTGTTCAATGCACAGTTTTATAATCAACAATCTTCAATTGAGCTTGACAATGATCTCCCAGTTAAATTTAAGAGGTTTAAATTTGAGACTGAGACGGAATTCTGGTGTCGTACGTTAGAGGGGGACGGAACGATCGCTCAGGAAGTTTATAGTGCAATTTATAGGTACTAGCGACCATGTGGCGAGCGGTGGAGGGTTACTGCAACTCGGGAATAGAAAATTAAGGTGACTTTACATATAGTTGGGGTCAGGGATGTTAAGGATATGAAGTTTCGGTTATGGATACGGTTACGGATATTAGAATAATATTATACCGGTTTCGGATATAAAATCATTTCGGATTATACGAAAGTTTCGGATAATTTCGGTTGTGCTGCGCGATCCTCATAGCCACTTTATGTATTATAACGACAACTATGATAAAGGTAGAATAAGCCCAGGGATATTATATGGTGCCAAGGAATGCCAGACAAGTAACAAATATTAAAAAGTATTAAGATTTAGACTCCGCCTTTATCCGAAACGTTTAAAAAGCGCTTTTACACTTCCCAGTATTATTTGAACCCTAGCACTGCTTTGGGACAGCAATATATGAGTCAGTGCTGAGAAGAAGCAGGGCAAGAAACTCACGTCCGTATTCACACACGATGCTTGCTTTTAATTCAATCAGCAAATCGAACGCACAGCGTTGAATAGAGCTCTGTGATTGGTTCGTGTGTCACCCTGTGCGTCCACGCGCACTGTGAGACCTCATAGTAATGTTTGTGAATACGGCTGTCAGTCACTTTTAGCCTCTTTTTCAAGAAAATATTTTTGCACATGCTTGCTATAGTTTACAAAATTTATGAACCCTAGACCATACAAGTATATCACATTTCGTCGTCATCACACTTTATATACCTCCCAAGCTGTACAAACCACTAAAATATTCACGTCCTCTTGTCGCTTACACTCATAACCGTAAGGCGCCGCGCACACCGGAACGCACTTACGCAGAATTACTTTAACGGGGCTTTAGTGCGGAATGTAATTAGGTTGTCACCTAAGACGGAGGGCGAATGACGGGCACGTGACAATAAAAACGTAAGCCGGGCTTCATTTGTAGGAAACGACTTGATTTCGTACGTTTGAGCATCTTAATAAAGTTTGTCACCAACAGTTAGGTGACGAAACTTCTAAAAATGACAATTAAATTGATTTGCCAATTCGGTTTATTAATCTCTACATAAATAGAATAAGAAAATCAATAAATAAGTGTCCTTGATGGACATTTTAGACTGCGCCATTTAGTCCCAAACTAAGCAAATATTAGATATTTCAATAAAGTAGATATTTTGAAATACGTAATTCCTTATTACTCATAGAAAACCTTTTATTCTTCTATTATCTAGACATAAATATTTGTGTGTGAAGAGTCCATTCGGGTAAAAATACAACTTAGAAAACGATAACATGATAATTCTGGAATTTTATCGAATAAACTCTATTTAAATCAGACATAACATTAATATTCATAATGTTGAAGAAACTTTACAGAAGAAAACCAACTACATTTCCAAAAATTCGATTATCATACCAAACCAGAATTTGGAGCGAAATAATTAAATTTCGAAAAGGCCCTCTGATGTGAAGGGCAAGACCTTTTAACTTTACAGACTCTAAAGAAGGAAATTTTGCCATTTTTCCACGAATCTTTTTTTCGTATCGTTGTTTGTTCACCGACGTATACGAACTAAATGAGATTTGGGGCCGTTGCTAGTGCAAAAGTGTGTAAGAGTAAACAAATCGAAATGGAAATAGAAAAAAACTATTTGGAATCGATACCTTTGATACACTCATACTTACTTGTACATTTCGTATTGGAGCACTCTACGCATTTACTTTTAAAACTCATTTGCAATAAAGCACATATTTCCAAATTATCAATGCTTCTTTTATCAACCATTACCAACAAACTTTAATGACTTACACTTATTTTTAGCAGAACAGCAGCTCAGTCGATAACATTAACACAGCAGCCATAATTTATTATGATATCTCAAACAACAGTCTTTGAGAGTTTATTAATAAAGCGCATCTGTTAGTGCCATACATTTGTACACTTTACTGCTCACAAAGTACATAAAACGATTCCGCTTCTTAATGCGCCCATTAAAACTACCGTGCGTGTTACATGCCTGCTATTCTTGGCGATAATAGCTTTTATTGCGTCGCGTCTAAAACTGCCCTTTTCTCTTGTTACAGGTCCAAAACTCGAGCCAAAATGCTGCAGGAACACTTGAAGAAACTTCTCATCTTAAATATAATAGCTGCAACAATAGCAGTTCCGGATTTCACGACCAACTGCCCGAAAGAATGCAAATGCGTCTGGGCCAGCGGCAACAAACAAGCGGACTGCTCCAAATCAAATCTACAAGATATACCAAAAAATTTAAGCTCCGACATTCAAAATCTAGATCTCAGCGGCAACAATTTCTACGAAATCACTATGTACGCTTTCGAAGACACGAAACTGATCAATCTCAAGAAACTCGTACTAAGAGATTGCAAACTGAAAACGCTACAGAAAAACGCCCTGAGCGGTCTCGCAATCATGATCGAACTGGATTTATCCAAGAACGAATTGAAAACGCTGTACGCGGACACATTTACAGACGCGAAGAAAATCCGATGGCTCTTTTTAAACGATAATCAATTGGAAAAATTAGAGGACGGACTCTTTAACAACTTTGAATACCTCCAGAAAGTGGATTTGAGCAATAATCGCATCGCCACAATCGGAATGAAGACTTTCCTTAACGTTCCCAAGCTGAACACTTTGAGCTTGAATAATAATAAATTGGAAAGATTGAAGATAGACGCGCTGAGTGCATTAACTACGTTATCCAACTTAGATGTGCACGACAATCCCTGGCGATGCGATTGCTATCTGCAGCCTTTCAGAAACTGGGTTATCAGCAAACATCTTTATACCTCCCCGATATCGTGTGCTGAGCCAGCCAAAGTCCAAGGAAAAATGTGGAAGGAATTAGACAGCAGCGATTTTGCGTGTCGACCGAGTATTGTGTACCCATCAACAAGCACGACCCTTCGGTCCGCCGACACAAACATTACCCTTTCCTGTCAAGTCAACGGCAACCCGCTACCCGACGTAAATTGGGTATTAAACGCCCAAATAATTGATGGCTCTTATAAGTACCAGGGCGAAGTTAAATACTACTTGTCAGAGAGCAGTTACGAAAGTAGCAAATGGGTCAATTTAACTATCGTAGACGCTGGCAGCACCGACAACGGGGAGTATTTATGCGTTGCCAAAAACGCTGGAGGAGTCGAGGAGAGAAACTTGACTCTAGTTGTGATGCACACAGTACCAGATTTGATAGTTCCTAGCGGTATGGATAATAATATGTTACCAGTTCTGATAGGCGTGTCATGCACGGCAGCTATTCTATTAATAATTCTAGTCATTTTGTGCTACTGTTGCTGCAAGAGACGAGGCTCGGATAAGAAAGCTGAAGCTTCTAATGGAGAAGCTTTGATAGAGGGCTCTGTGATACCAGAAATGGAGAAGAGTCTAATTACTGCCGTAAATCCCGTCACAAAACCTCCTAGGAGGTACGACGTCCCGCCTTCGATTACCAGCGGAGCCACGGAGATGTCAGAATTGAATAAAACATTGCTGGACAATGATTCTGTATTCGGTAAGTTACAAGTTTAATTCCACTAAAAGTTTTTAACAAAATGTGCATGTTCACCCGAAATGTTGGTTGCGCTAAAACAAACTTTCGCATGTATAATCTTGTAAAACATTGCAACTAAACATGTCGTGTGAGACACGGCAGCCTTATAAGTTTGCCCACTGCAGCTATTCGTGTCCACCTTCATTCCCTCTTATCGCAACATTAAGTGTGACTTTTACCGTGTCTAGATGTTTTATTAAGATATCCTTTTCACAAAAATTACCTCCTAAATAAAGTAGCAATAAAATGCGTTATATCGCGAGCACTTTTCTCGAAACTCGATAAGCGAGTACTTAAGTTTTATCGATTTGTGGTTAACACTAAGGGGATGGCGAAACTCCAACAAAAATCCATTACTGTTGTTTGTAATACCCGCAGAGTTTACGGTGCAATAAACATAAAAATTAATTCTTTGTTTCAGCGCATAATGACGACGAAAAACGCTCTCTCGACTTCGATCATCCAACGAAACGATCTCAAGATGGCCTCAACGTAGAGTACGGTCGTACTCCCGATCTGCTCATCTCTTTCCCGCCGAGAGCTGCCCAGATATCACCGGCAGCGAGCAACGCGTCCACCGTTCCTGACACCACGAGATTACCGCCGCAACTCAACCCCGTTAGTCCAATCCACTCTCCAATCTACGGGATGACGACCAACCAGAACTTGTTCCGAACGCTACCATACTCTCGATCACAGTCCCCATTCACGGCTCCCATCACGCCCCCAGTCGTCACGCCCAGACAAGGATACGTCACCATCCCGCGAAGACCAAGGGTACCCAGTTGGTCTAGCACCGCTAGCACCCAAATCCTTCCCAGCAGTGAAGCTCAAGAGCCGTTGTACGACAACCTGGGCTTACGAACGACAGCTGACGGCTCGATACTGTCTCTGAACAAAACCGGATTAGAAGCGCAGTTTTCGCCGATGAGGAACCGGCCACTGCCAGCTACTCCGAACGCTTTCCAAAGCCCTCATCATCCTCAAGTATACTACGCGCCGATTGAGGAGCAAGAACCAGCGCCATCTCCCGTGCCGCAATACATGACTAATCCCAGAAACAGCATCGCGTCTCAGCTGTCCACACCAGGTCCTCAAGAGCCGACAAATCCCAGAATGAGTTGGACGGCTAAAAACACCTCTACGCCCCAACCTGAGCCTCGAAAGGCTCTATTCAGCACCGGCTCCGACAACCAATCCCACGTGTCAGACAGCAGCACTTTGAGTAGAAAAGGAAAGCCCGAGACTGGTTCATTGAGACGGAACCCGAAGATCGAAAAGAACGAGGTCCCAAAACAATCCCCAACGAAAACCTCGCCGTCCAAAGACGACACAAGGAAGAGTGAAGCCAACGTGTCCTTGAACCAATCCGGGACTTTGGGAAGGAGTGGGAAGATTCCACCGCGGCCCCCTCCTAAGCCGAAGAAAAAGCCTCCGACTGAGGTGAACCCTACGGAACCCCTGTTCGAAGACGAGGGCGAGGACGGCACCGAAGTGTAGTAGTGCGGGACAGTGACCGAACCAAAGTGCCAAGCCTAGCAGTTACGTCACAACAGTGATATCAGTGATCAGAGACAGCGTGTAATCGAAATACGATTTCCCTTCACGGTGCTCGTGTAAATAACGATTGTGCTAGATTTTTTACCTATTGCGTACAATTAAAACCCTATGGACCATTATTAAGAGTTTTTAAGTGTTTATTGTAATTAGCGTATTAGTTTACACAGCAAATTGTACACATGAGTTTCTTTTAAGTATTTATTATTACGGTACTATTGGTTAAGGCATACGGTAGCTACTTTTGCCACAACGACGTTCTGCATGCAGTTCAAGACTGATTTTTCTAAATTGACAGCTTGTTTTTACATTCCCTTATACATTCGCGTAAATCGAATTCCAGTTTGGCTTACCATAGTTCTGCTAGAATGGTTTGACTAACTTTAGCATATTTGTCGAAGACTGATAAATGATTAGCCGCTTTTGGATTATTGATGACGTCAATATCCACTAAAGCGTTACGTCATTGGTTTTTAAATCATTTTCATTTGAATATCTGTACACGTTGCATTGTTTAGCAGCTATTTTTATGAAGTTAAGTTTGTTCTTATATCAGTATTTAAACAGGATTTCACTCATATTAACTTGGACGATGTAAATAATTTAATTAAGATTATGATAAAGGTCAACAATGATAAGACACGAACAAATAGAAAGATCTCATTTATGAAGCACACAAACCACAATGATGACATTATATTGGTTACTAAGTTTACAATATGCTTCGTGTATAGATATGAGGTCGTTTAAAGGCGTTTGTGTATATTACATACATGACATCGTTTTAAAATGTGTTTGTTTTGTGTATAAACTTATTGTATAAGACGTAGAAATGACTGTTTGACCTAATCTAAGATGTGTTTCTTTATCTATATACATTGTTAAGATTGGTACTTGTAGTTTCTCAAACGCCTACCGAAATTCAAATTGGTAACTCTAAAATATTTAACTTCGCCTTCTAAGTTAACTTTATTTTAGTTTTAGTTTGAGGCTGTATCAATTAAACATTTTATCGAACATTTTTAACATATTTGTGATGAAATTCATACATAGTTCCTAAAATATTTGTTTTACAATAGTATACCGTTAAGGTAGACGTTTTATAAGTTAAGCAGCTTTTTAACTAAGTTACTGGTGCTTATGATTTTTAAACGTGATTATTTATTTTTATATCCGTTTAGTTTTCAAATGGGAAAGTACATTTTATGGGTTTACTAGCTGCTAGTTCGATTTATGGTTCCATATCATTATGTGCTGAGTGTATTTCTTTCTCACAGAATGTACAATGTATTGAATTTTTACAATATTTACTGTAGACCTCCAGTTTTATAGTTTTAAGCGCTGTGTACATAGGAACATTATTATTAAAAGTGATTAAAGCTATATTTCAGTAATGTGTTGCTTTATTTACAACAACTATCATAATTATTTAAAAAAATCTGAGAGATGGGGGTGCAGTCGCCTGGCAAGCGAAAGGTCGTGGGTTAGATTTCCACTTTAGGCAGTTCGATTTCCGGATATACCTACATAGCTTCCTAAATTTTAAAATAACAATAACAATAATTTATGTCAACCATACGTAAAGTTTTTAGTTACAATTTAATACACATCAGATTATAATTAAAATAACAACAATCATGTAAATGTATTTATTTTAGTACAACTACAAATGTACAGAAAATGTATCATGCCTACTCTTGTACTGCAGTGATAACAAATAAATGACCTATTCAAAATTTCCCTCACAGTACTGTAACAGTAGAAATGAGAACAATGCATCAAATATATTTCATATTGGACTAAAGGATTGTGAAATTACTCATTATGTCAGTTAAATTGGCTTATACAGGGTGGCAACGATAAGTGATCTCACTCGATTATTCTAAACTATACAAGATATCGATAGACAGGTTACTGGTCCTGAAAGTGCTTCACGAGCTCTATCAACGGTATCAATAATAATAGGTTACAGAATAAACTGGATCCATCCGAATCTTCAATGTTTCTAGCTTTAATATTTGGTTGTATGTACAAAATGATAAATATTGTAGCTTTTTTGTAAAATAAGTGTTAAATAGTCCAGTAGAATTAGCTTTTAAATCGGAAATAATTCCTACAAAAGATTTTATTGTTTTAATGGCTTCATTGGTTGCCCATTAAGACTCTCCTAAGTTTTCGACTTCGACGGAGTTGTGCTTAAGTGGTGGGGGCCCCCGAAAGGGGCATTTTTTCGGTTTTCCGGTTATACCGCGTAAAGGACTTACCCTATCAAAAAGTGGTCTTCATGTCGGTTGAAGGGCACTTAATCCTGCATTGAATAAGACCAAATTCATATGTTTTGGACAAACCGTTCTCGCGCTAAAGTTCGGCAAAGTAGAAAATATACGTATAATTAATGACCCTCTCCATGTCTAATGGTTTGTTACCCACAGGCTTCCAAGTCTTGAAAAGGGCCACCTCAACCAGTGTAACCCTATCAAGGCTTACGAGCTTGATGCGCCTATCCTTGTTCGTCCCAGCCGTTCCTTAACTGCGGTTGCTGCACCTCTTCCTGGCACTCACCTGACACGGCATATTTATCTTAACTTTATTTTTTTACTCTGTATGTTTTGTCCGCTAGAGGGCGCCACATTAGATTTTGTGAAACCCCATATAGCCTATAACCAGCGGACAATTAAGACGCTTCTAATGATATGTCATTTGTCAAATTCTGATAAGTAGTTTAGAAGTTACGAGGGAACAGATGAACATACATACATACATACATACATACATACATAGCCTGTCAAAATCATAACCCTCCTTTGGCTTTGCCGTAGTCGGGTAAAAATTCTACCCTTAGGGAGGTAAAAAGGGGGGCAAAGTTTATATGGGATAACGAGATTCCTTCGTCCAATCTACTTTAAATTTTCAATAAACATTCTATAACAGAATTAATGGAAGATGTGTTTCGTATTTTAGTGAAATGCATCCCCTATTAACTATGTTATAAAGGGGTTGAAAGTTATTTTAATGATGATTTGCTTCAAAGTTGATATTAATTTCTTATTAAGTAGTGCATTTTTTTGACACACATGTCAAAAGACTATCATACTCTAGGGGCCTCCATTTGCGTACTTTTCAGGGGAGCGATTTTAAAGTTTAGAGTTCTCTGGTAAATCGGCATTAATGATAATTGATATTTTTATGATTGAAATAAGCTAATTTGATGCGTATCTTTCGATTGGCGTAAGAATTTGATTAAATTATCTACTTAATCTATTAAAAAAAAGACTTGTCAAGTTGTGTACCGACGACTTGTCAAGTTATTCACCAAAGAAAAACAAACATTTAAGGTGTAAAAATTGGATTTAAGTTAATTATTTTGAATGAAGTTTAAGTAAAAAAACAAAACATAAAAATAGAACATATTTTTATCACTTTTGCAATGAAATAGTAACAAATTTATAAGAAAAATCAAATATAATCGCAGATGATGATTGCTTTTGATTAGATAATTGTACGTTTACATAAAATTTAAAAAAAAGACAAATAAAAGATCAAAAGCCATGCTTCATAACAAGCACAATTAATTTTAATTATTTTAGGCTTACCATTAAGCTTAAAATAATTAAAATTAACTGGATATATTTTTGCGTAAGGTCGACACGCCCTTTCGCGTCCATCGTCCAGTTCACGTCCAAATGATGGATCACTCTAGAACGTAAGCTATTGCTATGATTCCCTGAATGTATGACAGGTAACCCCACATTAAAAAAATCTTATAGCATGCTACCGTTTTTGCCAAAAATAAATCCCACGTGAGCAGGTGCGCGTTTCAAGGTAAGTTTTTAATATATTTAGGTCTAGTTTGGGATTTACCGCAGTCTCTAAGCCTTAACCATGAATCATACAATACGGATAATGATATCGGTGATTGTACTTTATTAAATGACACTTAAAATAAGGTCACTTTTCGATAGGGTAAGTCCTTTACGCGGTATAACCGGAAAACCGAAAAAACGCCCCTTTCGGGGGCCCCCACCACTTAAGCACAACTCCGTCGAAGTCGAAAACTTAGGAGAGTCTTAATGGGCAACCAATGAAGCCATTAAAGCAAAAAAATCTTTTGTAGGAATTATTTCCGATTTAATCAATTTTTGTGTTTAATTCTACTGGCCTAAAAACCAGAACTGAAAGTCCTGAAATCTGAGATAAGTCAAATAAAACAAAAACAATATAACGTAAAACAAAGAGCTATTGTTTGTGGTCACGTAGGAAGTTTTAAGAACTTTTAGGGGTCCCCACAGAACGGATGGCTATTTGAAGTTTCGCGGAAACAGTAAGTACCCATTAGGAGCATCGCCGATGGAGGGTAGGCTTATGGAAGTTTTATTAGTGACAATGTGTCCGATTGGCTGGGAAGTGAAGATCATGTTTGGCTGTTTTGTTTTATTTTTCTAATTTTCTTTCAAGCTTCAACCACACCAACGCGTGATCGCCATCACCGGCGCGGTCAAAGACCAATGACAGGTCGCGCGACCCATGACAGTTCAAGAAACCTGTCATTTCTGTACGCGATCTGCACGCGTTGGTGTGGTTTAAGCTTTAGTCAAATATGTTTGTATGTATGTTTGTCTCGAAGCGCTGGTAGGGCCCAAAAGATAAGGAGACGTGTAAAGTGCCCCATAATGGCTACCTTTTCTTTTTTTATTATTTACATTTTGACGTTCATAAGTGCTACTTGTGGTCTAAACTGAATAAATATTTTTGATTTTGATTTTGAATATTATGATTTTTTGCGAATTTAACAAAAGAAACCAAACAGTGCAATATCGCTTCTAGTTTTCTCAACACTCATAAGGACTCCTCGTAGGTACGAGTATCTATTGAAAAGTAAAGGGCCACATTTTAAACTCAAACCAAGTTAACAACACATAAAATCACATAACACTGGCAAAATATGCAGCGCAAACCGTTTGTTGTGGCTCGTGTTTGTTCATGCCAATGTGGGTATTCTTATTTTTTATTTTTCGCACCTACCCACATTTTGTCTAATATTCACTCGGTATCATTCGTTGCTTTATAAATTAGTCTACGAATAAACGTGATGCACTGCGGACGTCGTCGCGCGCGCCGCATCGTATTCATTTGTTTTTTCTGGAAAGTTCTATCATAGAAGGAAAGGTTTGGGCGATCTTGATTGGTCAACGGCCAACGCTAAATAAAATGTACTCGTACTGTACTGTTAAAACAATGTAGTGGTGTGTATTTGACCGTGGTATTTGTGAAGTGCTTCAATGATTCTGCTGCCTTGTTTGATCTAATCGAGGTTCCTTCATCAAGGGGCGCCCTGGAGCTATTGGTGCTAGTGGACTGCAGAATGGGTGAGTGCGCTTTTCTTTCTTCTTCTAAATAATACAATCTGTGGTGAATTATAAACCTGTATGTCACTGAGATATAGATAATAATATTACTTCAATGGTATGAGTAGAATGTCGAACCAAAAAATCTTAAGATTTATCGCTCGTATAGTGTCAAAATGGGCAGGGCACACAGTACGCAGAAATGACGGCCGATGGAGCAGCATGGTTCTGGAGTGGAGGCCACGTACCGGAAAGCGCAGAGTAGGACGTCCACCCACAAGGTGGACCGACGACGTCATGAAGGTAGCAGGAATTCGCTGGATGCAGGCTGCCACCAACCGGCCATTGTGGACTGGAAATCATTGGGGAAGGCCTATGTTCAGCATTGGACGTCCTATGGCTGAAATGATGATGATGATAGTGTCAAACAATTAAAAAGGATCCAGCCGTATTTCGTAAAGAGCGACA